AATGACCATACTCACGGTTAAGAAGACGAATTCAAATTCAAATTCAAATTTTTATTATGGGATATAACTTACAAAGACTTCGCTTTTACAAATCCCATAGGGTGTTTACACATTGGTTCGGATGAAGAATCACAATATCACAGTTAGTCCATGAAAGTAAAGTAGTAAAGTAATGTTTTGACGAGCAAAGGAGAATATGTTATGTAGTGGGTGTTGAAATGTAACGTTTGCCACAGCATCATCAAGCTGACGCTTGAATGATACTAATGTTGAGGCACAGACAACTTGAGCTGGTAGAGAGTTCCATGTGCTGCACACTCCGACTGCAAACGAGTGACGCCTGCAGCCGACACGACTCTTTTGGTGTGCCAACTTCAGCGGATGCCCTCTGAGATGAACGTTGTGCGAATAAACCAACAGAGATCTACAGGGGTGTTTGGGTTGTTGGAAAATCCGATAGAGTAAAATCATATCGCCTCTGATTCGACGATATTGGGATGAGTATAGCCCCAGGAGCTGTAATCTTTCTCCGTAGGTCTTGGAATGCAAACCTTTGACCATTTTGGTAGCTATTCTCTGTGGATGTTCGAGTGCCTTCAGATCTCGCTGCAACCATGGGTTCCAGGCTTGAATTGAGTACTCAGTATATGGACGAATATACGTGGCTAGCAGACGTGGAAACAAAGCCGGCTCAAACGATCCAAAAACACGTTTGAGCAGTCCAACCTGCTTTACCGCAATGGATGATGCCCGGGAACAGTTTGTGGAGCAACTCAAGTCTGCGTCAATGACTACTCCTAGATCTTTCTCGGAAGGAGCATGAGGCAGAGTTTCATGTCCGAGAGTGTAGAGAAAACGATCGTTGTGACTAAGTGATACGACTTTACATTTGGTGACGTTGAATTCAATATCACTGGAGACAGACCTTCTGTGAGCTTCGTCAAGGGCGTTCTGGAGGTCAAATGAATCTTCTGGTTTTGTTATTGTCCTCCATATTTTGGCATCGTCTGCAAACAGCAGAGTTTGTGGTCCGAGGACGTCTGGAAGATCATTAATGAAGACAAGGAAAAGACGTGGGCCTAGCACTGATCCTTGTGGAACCCCACGGTTGACATATATCGGATCAGAAAGTGAATCGGAAACACGAACTGACATGGTGCGTAGGCGAAGGAACTCCTCGATCCAGCCAAGTACGAGTCCACGAATTCCATAGTTATACAGCTTTCTCATCAGTATTTGATGATTTAACCTGTCAAAGGCTTTGGAAAAGTCCAGGTAAATGACATCATACTCCTTTGCCTTGATCTACAGCATAAGTCCAATCGTCCCGAGCCAAAAGCAGATTAGTTGCACATGAACGATTTCGTCGAAACTCGTGCTGGACTGGGGATAGTAGGCCGTTTTTCTCCAGATGATCCATTACGGAATCAGCAACAATAGATTCCATGACTTTGGACAACACTGGAAGGAGCGTGACGGGTCGGTAGTTGGCTGGGTCACTACCTTTGTAAATTGGTGAAATGACACCGTTTTTCCACACCGGCGGAAGCGCGGTATCTTCAAACAGTTTTTGGTATAGCCACTTAGAGGATCGGTTATGTGACTTGCCAGAGTGATAAGGGTTTGTGAATGGATGTTATCTAAACCCGGTGATGAGTTCTTCTTTATAGCCATGAGCTTAGCCTTTGCCTTTTCGGGGGAGAAGATAATGTCTGTTAGTAATGGGTGAGAAATATGTTCCAGCGAACGGGGAAGTACGAACCCAGTGTTACTGGGCGCATTGACCACTTGAGAGTATTGTAGCCTCAGCATTTCTGCAGCCTCCTTGGTCGTCACTGAAACACGCCCTGCTGATTTTAGTATCAGAACACCGTGTTTGACTTTCCGGGAAGCGTTTACATGCTTATACAATAGCTTGGGGTTTGCAATAAACTTTCTCGCCAGCATATCCTGATACTTGTGCTTGTCTTCCCGCACCAAATTTGTACAGTGGTTCCGAATGAGCCTGTAAGCTTCCCAAGTACTGGGGCATGGACGACATTTGAACTCCCTCCAGTAAAAGTCCCTTTGCATTATCCATTTCCTAGTTCGACTGCGAATTGCTGTTTTTCGAACAGTCGGTCGGCGTAGACGCTTGACAATTGTAACAGTAGCCACCAATGCCGTGATGCTGTTAGTAAATTTTCTCCAGGACTCCAGAGGATGGCAGGCTACATCAGGGGAGATCCATTGGATTCCATGAGCCAAAGCGTTTAGTCTCACATAGTCGGTTATGATGCGAAAGCGATCCGAAGAAACTGTCGATACTGATGCATAGCAAACATATTCGAACAATAATACAGCGTGATCACTGCGCCCCAACGGAGTTGCGATTGCAATTTATTCGACCATTAATTCCTCATCTGTCAGTACTAGATCCAAAGTTGACGAAATTTGTTTGGTTCCAAACTTGGTGGGTTCCATCACATGATTGTACAACGGATGTGACTGGATGAACTGCTTTAGATGACGTTCAAATGGTATACACGATGTAGTCACGTTGGTCAGTTTGGGACAGTTGAAGTTACCCATCATCAGAACGTGGGTGATTTCAATGACAAGAAGTAAGACATTGTTTCCAATAAAGTTTCATTTGATGAATCTAATGACGAGGGAGAGCGATAAACCACACCGATCAGCCCGTTATCCTGTTGCGTTAGCTATAATTTACACTATAATGTATCAGAGGCGGCGAAAGGGCATTCAATTTGCTCGCATTGCAAGCTCTTATGATGATAGAGCAACACACCCCCACCTCGCGTTGGACGATCATGCCCCAATAGCTCCATGTCTGGTAATCGCAGCTCGTAGTCTAAGATGTCGGTCGTCAACCAGGTTTCGGTTACGGCAATGAGATCCCATCGACCGGTCCGACAACGTAGTTCCATTTCCGAGAATTGGTATAGAAACAGTTCAGTCGTTGTCGGTGGAGAAATCCTTTGGAGTTTAGGGACGTAATTTGGCCGACCTCGTTGTCGGCCGACAGACGTCTTTTGCCGTAGGTTTTTGTTGGGTTTGGTCTGATGGGGTTGAGGTGAAGC